TTATAAAATGTGATTTTGGCCAGATTACGTGATGCGCCCGCGGTTTTTTGATATACTCACGATTTATAAAAGTCTTTATATACGTTATCCTGAACCCCTGTAGTTATGTGTTGAGTTTAAGTGATTGTTGATGGTTGTTGTTATAAAATGTGATTCTGGCCAGACTACGTGATGCGCCCGCGATTTTTTTGATATACTCGCGTTTTTTTTTTAAAAAAAATATGTAAGTTATCCCTGTACCCCTGTAGTTAGTAATTGTGTTGAGTTGAAGTGATTGTTTGATGGTTGTTGTTATAAAATGTGATTTTGGCAGACTACGTGATGCGCGCGCGTTTTTTGATATACTTAACCCCCCTACGATTTTACAAAAAATCTTAATATACGTTTATCCCTGAACCCCTGTAGAGTTTTGTTTTGGGTTGAAGTATCGTTGATTAGGTTGTTGTAATAAAATGAGATTCTGGCCAGGCTACGTGATCCGCCCGGGTTTTTTTTGATTTATATACTTTTACACGATTTATAAAAAGTCTTTATGTAAGTTATCCCTGTATTTAGTAATGTGTTGAGTTGAAGTTATTGTTGATGGTTGTTGTTATAAAATGTGATTTCTGGCCAGGCTACATGATGCGCCCGCAGTTTTTTGATATTACTTATACTCGCGTATTGTATTTGACTTGTGTTTTTAGAATTTGTGTACTATGATTATGTTTGATATGTTTAATTATGTATTTGTTTGCTCTAATACCTATATTTTTTTGTATTGCAGATCTATTTTCCAGGTTCTTTAAAATGTTTTGTTTTGCCTATATTCTAATGTTTTGTGTTTTTTTGTCTTTTTTGAAAACCACCTGGAAAGAAGATGTTGGTGTTCTAGTTCTACATTGTGGCGAAGACGTGAGGATGTGGATAGATGTGTATCATTGGTTGGAAACAGGCATGATGGAGAGAAATTAGGTATTTTCAATATTATACTTTAAGGATTTTTTTGTAACCGTTTATTTGTGCCTGCAAAGTATCAATTATTTACAAGATAAAAAAAGTTCAGCTAGTTCAACAAACAGTTTGATACGGGAATTGTTTTTTGGGGAATATTTTCTTTTTGGGGTTTTTTTAGGATTTGGGGAAGGGTTTGGGGGGTGGTTTCTCTAGGCATGAATTTGCCCCCCCCTAAACTTTTTTAGGGCCTTTATCGGGCCCATATAATAAAAAAGGGGTAATCAAAATTAAAAAAAAACCAATGAAAATTTTTGAAAAATTACCCCTTTTATTTAAAAAAGTAATTTGAAAAGCTTGATAAGTTTTTAAAACATTATAAAAATTAGAATGTTAAAATTTTTTAAAACATGGGGTGCCCTGGGAAAAAAATAGGAAATTGGTACATTTTTTTTTGATTCTTTTTATTTTTTGTTTTACTTGTGTGTCTTTTTTTAAAGTCTTGTAAAATTAAAATTTTTTTTTTTTAAAAACCCCTGGGTTTTTTTTCCAAAACCAGGGGGGGGGTGAAAAGTGGAAGTGGACAAAAAACAAATCAGTTCTTAGAAAAGAAACCAAAGGGGCCTATAAAAACCCAAAAAGGGAAAAAATTGGAAAAGGGAAAAATTAGTTAAAGTCATCAATTGCTGGCAAAATTTGTACAACAAAAAATTGTTCCAGTTTTAAAGGAAAAGGTGCTTGTCATAAGGAAAACCTTGCTAATTTTTTGTTTAAAATAAACCCCATAAAAAAAGTTTAAGGGAATCAAATAAAAAAAAAAATACAATTTTTGGGTTTTTAAAAAACCCTTGGGGAATTTGAAGCCAAATAAATATAGAGATGAAAAATTCCTGTCGGACATTTTGGAGACTTGGGCTCCTTTCCCCTAATCAGGGTTTACTACCAAAATACAATTTTTTTATTTACTTATGAAAAAAGGGTTACATTTAAATGGCATTGGGGGGTTTGTATTTTTGTCTAACGGGGTTTTTAACTTAGGGAAAATTTTGGGGGTTCATAAAAATTTTTTGTGTTGCCTCTACAGAGTAGTGGTGACATATAGGGATCACTTCTCCGTCGTCTGTCTGTCCGTGCAAAACACATGGGTGACTAGGAAAATTATAGGTATTGGTAATTTTTTCTTTGATTCTTTTTATTCTGTTTTACTTGTGTGTCTTCTTTTAAGCCATGTGAATTAGAATGTTATTTTGTAAACCCTGGTGATTTTTCAGACCATGGATGAGTGATGAAGTGGAAGTGGACAAGACTATCAGTTCTTCGAGAGTTCCAGTGCCTATATACTCGCAAGAAGGATATGGTAAATGGAATAGCTTAAAGTACATCTATGTGCTGGCAGATTTGTACAACAAGAAGTTGTTCCAGTGTGAGGAGAGATGCTTGACATAAGGGTAAACCTTGCTCTTTGATGCTATAGTAAATCATAATGAGGATAATGAATCATAAATAAAATCAAAATACAAGTTTGGTTGAAATCCGTGTGCAATTTGAGCCAAATGAATATAGAGGTGAATATCCTGTCGGACATTTTGGAGACTTGGGTTCCATTCCCTATCTATGTTTACTTACAAAATACAATTTTGTTATATTACTTTATGAATAAAGTATACATTTGAATAGCCATTGTCAGTTGTTGTTGTCTGACAGGCTATCTTTTTGGTATGTTGGTGGTTCTGTAACTTTTGTGTGTTGCCTCTACAGAGTAGTGGTAACATATAGGGATCACTTCTCCGTCGTCTTTCTGTCCGTGCAAAACACATGGGTGACTAGGAAAATAATAGGTATTGTACATTTTCTTTGATTCTTTTTATTCTGTTTTACTTGTGTGTCTTCTTTTAAGCCTTGTGAATTAGAATGTTATTTTGTTAACCTAACCCTGGTGATTTTTCAGACCATGGATGAGTGATGAAGTGGAAGTGGACAAGACTATCAGTTCTTCTAGAGTTCCAGTGCCTATATACTCGCAAGAAGGATATGGTATGGATAGGTATGTTGGTGGTTCTGTAACTTTTTGTGTTGCCTTTACAGAGTAGTGGTGACATATAGGGATCACTTCTCCGTCGTCTGTCCGTGCAAAACACATTGGTGACTAGGAAAATAATAGGTATTGGTACATTTTCTATGATTCTTTTTATTTTTTTTTAATTGTGTGTCTTCTTTTAAGCCTTGTGTGACTAAAAATGAATGAAATGATCAAAGGAAAAGTCATGTAAGTACTTCTGTACTGTTTGTCCGGAATACTCAAAAACTACTGGTGCAATTTCATCTAAACTTTACAAGAAAGATCAGTTACAAGTCTAGTTGTTCATCTTGTCAACATTTTTGGGTTCAATTATATCTATCAAAGAAATGGCCCTTCAATGATTTAGATTTTTAAATTGACTATACAAAGTAATTGACTATACAAAGTATAAAGAGAGCTGTCCTTCTCGCCCCGGAGTCCGCATTAAAGTTTTGGTGCATTAAAATATTTTTTGATGGATGAAACTCATGGTTGCTTGTGAGCTGGTATCTCCCTAACTATTGAAAGGAATGGAATGAAACTTAATATACATTTTCACTGTGATTTTTAACATGATTGACACGGGTCCCATAACTCTGATTTACTTATTTACATATTTATGCCCCTTTTTATACTCAATGAAACATCCTTGTGACAACTCTATCGAATAGTCGAGCATTGCTGTCCTCCAACAGCTCTTGATAAACTTAGAAAATTTAATTAAAAATTGTTATATTTGTTTAAGTACTTGTAATATTTTTGTTATTATAAATGATATCTGCTCTAGACTTAGGATAATTGTTCTTTGTCATTACTCACATCATGCATGACAAGTTCCATCAGGGATTTTTTCCAGGTTTTTGGGAACATGACCCATACTCATGACATTGGGAATTTCAGCGTTGTTTTGTAAAAAATTGGGAAAAAATGCATGACTGAAATTTTGCAGTGTTTAAATGAATGCAAACAATCCATGTCGCATCTCCAAACATTTTAGCACTATTACAGTGAAGAAGCCCTTATTTTTAAAGATGTTAGAATTCTTTATTCAATATTTTTATTTTGTAACTTTCAATTTGGAATATTTTTTTGTAGATTGGGAAAGTAATATACTATTTTCAATTGGGAATATGACCCATTATTTTCTCCCTCACTACGTTCGTCCGAAAGTAAAACAATTATTTGCTATACTTGACAAGGAAAAACAAAGACAGTATCGAGTAAGAAGGCGGTTTGCTACTTTTTATTTCTTAAAAGTCGACGATATTTTCTCATAGCAATACATGAATAATAACGTATTTTATCATGTAATAAAGACAATATATATCTCCAAAGACAAATATTCAATCAACATAATTATACAGATAATTGAGCCATTGGACAGTTTTGTTACAAGATAAAGCAACAATCTCACTTATTTAGACAAATTAACTGAACAAACGTAATGTTACTTGTACAGTAGCAAACCTCGAATGACTATTTAGCCGCGAAATACGCACGAGAAAAACGAGCACTATTCATACCAAATACTTTTAAATACCACAAAGCAAAAACTAGAAAGTACCGAAAACAATATTTATTATTTTCTCCCTCACTACGTTCGTCCGAAAATAAAACAATTATTTGCTATACTTGACAAGGAAAAACAAAGACAGTATCGAGTAAGAAGGCGGTTTGCTACTTTTCGAATGCAAAGATGAGAAAACTACAAGCCTAGACTTTTAGTAACGGAAAGTTGATTCTCAAGACTGTAATGAATATAACCGTCGGCAGAAGAAGGAGATTTCCAACGACCGTGCTTATTAACTAATCTAGCATCTAAGTTCGCGTCGCTGTTTGCCGCAGCAGACGCTCCGCCGCTACGCAAACTATGTAAGCCGAAATTCGAACCGTCTTCCCCAATTTTATTTAAAGCCTCTATAAGAATTTCACGTGCTCTAGTATACGACAGAGGTGAACCGGTATCGCAAAGAACGTATTTATCTTTACTTTTTAGAAAGCGGACCTTTGCCCCGGACAAAACATTAGCACACTGCCTTTTTTGGTCAGAGGTTTGACCATCAATATAATGCTTTAGACTTTCTTCATTTTTGTGCTTTGTTAATTTGCATATTTGCTTGGTATCTACACCACTCTGGTACAGAACTGTTATGGCTGTTGCACGAACAGAATGGTTTGTATAAATTTGTGAAAGACCAGCACTTGTTGAAATTGACTTCATTACTTCAGCAAGTTTGTTTTTACCTATAACTTGTTCAGTGAACCAGTATGGACTTTCTATAAATTTAGGACTTAGTATTGGCCGTTGAAATAAGGCCTCATTTCTAGGATTTAATTTGGAAATATAAAAGTTGTACACCTTAACAATACTGAGATGACAATTATTGACCTCTAACCCATATGCCCTTACATCACTATAGTCCCATGCTTTGGAACTACTGCCCCCTTGCCAATTTTTGGTTTTCTCGGTAGTTGCCATAACTAGATACTCATAACCAAGGTCATCGGTTTTAACTTGGAAGGTATTCCTGGTCATATCCCTAAACCCTTCCCTCCCACGTCTGGCAAACAAGTAGCATAATAAAAACCAAAAACAGTGGAACAAAATTTCAGGGGATTCTTGGTATTTAGCAAGATAGCTTGAAAGTTTAAAAAGGTCACCTTCTGCAATAGCCGGATAGTGGGCGGGCTTTTCATTTCTGGCATTTATATAAGTTTTGCACATATTATCTATCATTTTATTTGCTAAAATAAATTCTTTATCAACTAAAATATTGAAGTTTCTGTTGAATGGTGGGGAAGTCAGAGCTCGGTGGATTCCTGCTCTTATTCCACGTAGGCTGCCTGGAGCAAACTTTTTACCGTCCTTTGTTTTAATTTCAGCGTAAAATTTTCTTAGTGTTTTACCAAGATCTTCAGGTGTAATATTGTGAAAATCTAAAATCATGTTTCTCTTCCTGATGTAATCTGAAAAAAATATGCTTTTGTTATATATTTATAAATGAAATATTTGCACAGTAAAATTTTATATTACACTGCAGTGAAACATATTTTCCATTTTTTCAATGGTTTCTTGAAGGACTTTCTTCTAAATTCAGCCAATAAACAAAATTAAAAAGGAAGTCTTTCAAATTGTAATGTCAAAAAGGGATAAATGAATATGATAAACAGAAAATTAAATTTTTTCTATAAATACAGGATTTATTTTCATCATGTGCTATGAAAATTATCATATATCACTCATGGCTGTAAATATTCATTTCACACCACATATGAAAATAAATCCTGTATTTATAGAAAATACTTGAACATCCTCTATTTGTCACATATTAAATATTAATAATGTTTATTTTATATTTATATTTTAAAAAAAAAGATACTGAAAAATATTAATGTAATAAAATATGCATTTTCATTTTCCGTATTGTCACTGTATGGATTTATTTTTCACTGTATTGAAATGTATTTTCCGTATTGTCACTGTTCAAAGTTATTTTTCAATGTACCGGTACTTCTTAATATATATAGCCTGTACATAAAATTTCAAATGGAAATCTTTCAAATTATAATGTCAGGAAAATAAAAAAAAGCTATAATGTACAGTAAATTCAAGAGTTTGCTTTAAATATGAAACTATTTTGGTATGAAAATGCTCATATTTCATTTAAAAATGTTAATTTTTAAAAAATACAGCTGTATATATGTCTTATATACTCAATATTAAAAGTTTTCAATTGTGGACTAACATTCTTAAACTTTTCTGTTACTTTAATTGAAAATTTCTATAGTATAATTCTTTGTCAAGGTATTCTTTTTCATTTTAATACCTGTCAATTTCTTGAATGCCCATCTTTCAGATTGCTCTGTGTTAGCACACTTTGCCTCTATATCTAGCCTGTCAAGCTCTTCATCATCCAAATCAGAGGAGTTGTCTTTTTTACTATTTACATTGTCATCTTTACTATTTACATTGTCATCAGACCAATTATCTGTGAAAGTTTATAAGATGCATATATATTGAAAATTTATAACAGACTTAATGTAGGAATAGCTATTTAGTGACATGGTTTGTGATTTCACTGTTATTTAAGAGACAAGTGTTGAATCCCGGCTTGGACTCTTATATTATATTAGTTCTTGCTAACCTTAGAAACTGGAATAAATAGGGTTAAACAAAAATTTGTGCTTTATTATTACGGTTGCCAAGCATGTCAAATTAAGAAAGAAACAAAGTCACAGGCTTGTAAATACTTAAAAGATACAGTACATATATTATTCCAATTACTTTATTGTTAGCTGGTTATTTACTGTGTTTGTTTGTATTGTTTTTTTTCTTTAAGTTTATTGTTGTTACTATTATATACAAATCAAGTTTTAGTTTCTTTAAAGTCTTTATTCGATCTTTAATCTCTTTATTATTTTTGTGATTCACATGTCATTTAACATGACTCTTGATTGGAAATAAAAGTTATTCTATTCTATTCAATTGTTTTAGTTTAATTTACTATTACATACCAAAAGCATCATTTAAGATTTCTTGCAGCACATTTGGTTCTATTTCCTCTAAAAACAGCTCAGTTGCAGTAGGGGTCGATGTGACTGCAAAAATAAGATTATATAAAAAGTATGTGTACAAATCAAAACAAGTATCAGTGTAATAGATTTCATGTATAATTACTCAATGAAGTAAACATCACGAAAGAAAACGAGGGCATACGGAAAGTACCGAAAATGCACGTTGCGTTGTTTACTTATTTTGCTGTCCAGATTGCAATATTTCAACGTTTCACATGAATAGAATCAACAAATAATTTATACGAATGCATATATTAAATACATGAAAAATGTTAACCTAACGGAAAAGAAATTATTGATAAAATACTTAAATATCTACCTGGTTGGATCAGTCGCTCCGGCGTCTGTGGGCGGAACAGTTGATGACGAAATGCCCTCAAAACCTCTCCAGTATGTTTTGATTTGATAACATATTGGGGACAAGGCCATTCATTAATTTTGTCGATGATACAAAATTTCTCTGCCTCAGACCGCGCTGCGAAATTACATGTATCGCCAACTTTTGGCAAGTAGGTCAAATCGGCGTCCATTTTTGTTTTTGTTTACAGGGCCCTGTATAATTTTTTGCGCATAGGTAAAACCGGGCTATAACAAGTGCGCGTGCCCTTGTTAACACACGGTTTTGACCCCGTTAACGCATGGGCAAAAAAGGCGAAAATAGCCGATTTTATGCTATAATAAAGAAAATACACACTGTAGATACATTGGCTGGTAACGATTCAAGAGAATGACACTTACACCACTCTGTAAACTTTACAAAATATTGATCATACTTTTTGTTTGTGTTCTTGGATTTTGAGGATCGCACTATGTCCGGTAACTGGTGAACGGCTGCACATAAACAAGGATTACAGGCAAAGTCCAATACATCACTCCAAACCCCGTTGCGAGGAAACTGCAACAATAACAATTATTAATATAGACATATGCAAAAACTTAATAATAATGGGTTGATATTACACATTTTCACTGTCTTATATTAAAACAATCTAATAATAAACAATCAAAGATTGTTCCTCCCTGGTCACTGGAGCAGGGGCTTCATAAAAAACTTCAACAAAAACACATTCGATAATCAAGGATTATCCTTCCCTGGTCACTGGAGCAGGGGCTTCGAACATTTAATAACGTAAAATGTATTATAAATGTAGTATTTACACTGTACACTCGTATATCCTTACAAATAATCAAGTCACTGTATAAGTAATAAGTCACTATCTTCTTACAATAAAGTCACTATAAAATCACAATCTCCTTACAATAAAATCGCGTGAAAAACAAACAAGTTAATATCGTCACACGATATTAATAGTTCTTAACTCTAATTCCTTATTTTCTAAATCTTATTAATAATTTTAAAATCATATTAATAACTCAAGAAAAACGAATTTTTAATGCGAGAACGTTTCCATTAAAAGGCGAAATAGCAAAAACACTATGTTTGCATGATCCTGGAATGAATCAAAGCACTGAAAGTACTGAAGTATACATTGCTTGATAATATAATCCATTTTTGACATCAAAGCCATGTTGATTTTAACCTACTGACCTCGAAAACAATAGGGATCATCTTCTGACCAATATCAATGTCCCTAACAAGTGATTCACATGCACCAAGGCTTTTTTCTTCAAAAGTTATTTATGAGTCAAGGGAGATGTAATGTTCCATCTGTGTATTGCTAGGACAAGCTGATAGATGAGCAATAAAGAAATCATTTTTTGAAACACCCGTTAAATGGACTGCAATATAGAATATTGAAACAGTCATATTGAGTTTCCAGTGATGCTATCTGATAAAATACATGATCTGGTTTGAACTCTATACAAAGTCAATTAATTGAATCATCCTACAAGACTTAATTACCAAATTACAGTATATCTATATACTGTACTTTGATGCATTAATAAATATATTCTGGTGTGTTGTATTAATCTCTACACATTAATTTTCAAATGCATTACTTTATCGTTAATTAATAATAATGAAATCTATAATCACAACAATTCAAATGTACTGTAATATTTTCATTATTCAATAATTGTTACATATAGTCTTCATGAACAACCTTTCCAAGAAATCCATTTATATTGGACAGCAAGTTAACAAGGGTTTTTCCATAATCAGGTTGTGTTACCAACTTCTTAACTTTAGATGAACCATTGAGCTAAAACATTTTTTTTTCTATTTTTTGACTACTGTGACATACTTCTGATTTTCAACCAAGGTGATCCATGTTCAAACTCGAGCAACACCTGTCACACACATTCTTACGATGTTGTTTGACATTTGGGACAAAGTGTGACCAGTAGAGTGTTAGCAAACTAAATGACCAGCAGATTGTTAACAACTGTAATGTCAGCATCGGATACACGTGGTTGAAACCTAACTGATAAATGTAAATGGTTCGGCCGTGGGTATCCGACGATGCTAAATGTGGACAGACCAGAGTTGACATAAGATGGATGGCCGACATTCAACAATCTAAAACCTCACCTAGCCTGGGATTCAGGCGTTGATAGCTTTTGCTTATTCATAACATTTTTTTGTTCATAACATATGCGCTTAATATTCCGTATTCGTTCGTCGTTTGATAGTGTCGATTTTGCCAAACAGAAAAATAACAAAAAATCGACAGACTGGAAACCAGGCTAACCTCACCCTGAGCTAGCCAACCTATAAGTTTCACCACTGACTTTTTCATACTGTACTTATTACAAAAAATAACTGACATTTTACAAAGGTAATAAATTCTATGTCATAGTTATTCATTTAAACGATTGGAAATATATTTAGCAGCATTTTTTTAAAAATATATCTAGTATTTTATTGCAAGTAAAATGTGTTGTTTGTTTATTTATTTTTTCTATGTTTTTGACGCTAGGCAGTATCATTGCCGATAAACAATTTCATACAATGTTTATTACAAAAATATTACTGATATTTTACATTTCTTACACATAAATTATAATGTTATAATCATTCATTTAGACGGTAAAAATTTTATTTAATAGTTCTATTTTTGAAATGCCCATTTCATCGCAATAAAATGTGTTGTTTTTTTATTATTTTTGGGCTTTTCCATTATTTTTGACGCTAGACCGATACGTAGCCGAAAAACACTTTCATGCTGTATTTATAAAAATATAAACATCACTGACATTTTACATTGGTAACAAAAGAAAGTAATAGTTATTCATTTAAAAAGGTTGGAAAAAAATAGCGGCTCTTGTTTTAACTACGACTATTTTAATGCCCGTAAAAATGTGTTTTCCGGCTTTTCCATGTTTTTTTGACGCTAGACTGTAACTTTGCCGAAAAACACTTTCATATCGCATTTAATACAGAATAGAATCATTCTCTAATTTACACTGGTTGCAAAAGAAAGTAAATTTTAATCATTTAAAGGGTAGAAAAAAGTAGTTTAAACTTATTTTGTTGGAATTATACCAATTGTGTATATCATCGATTTAAAACTGATATTATTGAACCCATTTCATCAAATAACCGACAAAAACCAATTTCATCAAATAACCATCAAAAATGGTTTATATTGCTGAATTAATATTTCTTTGTATTTTAAGTGTTTTTCGGTATTTTTTTGGTGTTTTTCGGCAATTAATATAAGCAGATAAAAATAACATAATGTATTTATTTCTTAATGCTTACACTGATTTACAGTTTCAAATGATTATTTCTTCTCGTTGAATCTTGCCACATATGCCTATATTTAGCTCCATACGTCAATATCCCAAGTTCGACGAATTGTAATGGGTCGAACGGTCGAGCGGCCGAATCTTTATTTTTACCCGTACTGAATCAGGCAATCTTCGCTGAATTTCGAAACATATTTCTTTTCAAAAATCTAAGGCATACAAAAGTGAAAGGAAAATCATGTGTAAAAAAGGTATTCAAAAGAATAGCTTACGTAATTTTTATTTTTCGAAGTCACGATAAATTGCCAGTTTTAAAAAAAAAAAAAAAAAAAAAAACATTTTCCGGTATACGCTGGTAAATTTTGTGACGGTGCTCCATACTTATTTTGTAAAACATTTTAGGGCAATTTTATTGCATAAATGTAAATCGGGAATTTTATTTGATTTAATATCTATCTGAGATGTTTCGTCCCATTTATATAATACACCGATATACACTTTTAGAACTAGCAGACGACAGGCTATTCTTATCATTGCGTATCTCACTGTATAAATCGCATGTAAAATGGTCTGACATATGGTAGGTTTAACAGTTAATTTAAATACTTTGGAGTCAAAAGATGTATTGAAGTTAACATTGTGATGAAGCTAAGATCCAAAGCTTTCTATTGGTGTAATACATTTTAAAATCGGACATTTAATCACAACACAACTAGCGGTTTTTAAAAAAGCTTATTTTGTATTGTTTTTAGCATAAGCGCTGACGACTTTACTATATTTACGATGTATTCATTCATGCTAGCAAGCGCATGCGTATATGCGAAGTTTAACGCGTAGGTATAAACTACGATTTTATCAATGAACTGTTATTTTTTGTTTTCTTTAAAGGAATGTAGAGTCTATTATTTCATGAAAATGAACGATTTGGAAATTTCAAAGCATTTAAACAACTTTGCAAAACACTATTATAATGATGTGTAGTCGGAATGTAACGCTACTGCAGAATGAAGAACTAGTTTCTATAGCGGTTTTTATCCGGGAGTGGATGTTGTTCGGTAATGCATTAAACCTGTATCTTTTCTGAGATATAGCTTATAACTCTGTATACATTGCAAGCAATGTATACAAAAACTGACTAGGTTTACAATACTCTATGAAATCTGTCACAAAGTTTTGAAACTCTCTGGTATGTATATTGACAAGTAACGGCCAGAAAATTGCAGACTCCCACTTCGGAACTATTAAAGTTCCCTCTGCTTTACAAACAAACATATGCTGTAAAACTCTAGGAACTAAATTTACTGGAGGAACAACCCAATTATTTTGATTTCCCCAGTTATAAGCAAATGCATCAACCCAGACGTACCAGGACACCAGAATTTTGAATAAAAAACGTTCAATTTATTGTTTACATTGTTTGCGAACCAGTCGACTGTGAGGGACCCCATTTAGCATTAAGAAACTTAAAAATATGTTCCGATACGCCCCAGTCGTCCCAATCAAAAATCTTACTCGCGTCGTCTGCTTCAAAATTCTAGGAACCCAGGCGATTTTCTAACAGAATACTGCGCTGAACACATAAATCGAAAATTTTTCTAGCAATAGTTTGCAAAGGACCCCTTTGTACTACCCTGATTAACTATTCTTATAACGTTTTGGTTATCAGAGTATATTTTCACGAACCTATTATATAACTGATCAGAAAAACGTTTCGATTGCAAATTCTAAAGCTTTCATTTCCCTCCAAGTTGAACTCATAATACGATCATCCACTTTAAACATAATAATGAGCAACTTGATTGGTGGAACCTAGTAAAATACATGCTCCTGCAAAATCACTAGCGTCTACAAAAAGAATACGCTCTGGAATCCTGTAAATAGGCATTACTGATCTAAATGTTAAATTTGACAAATTATTGAGCCAAATTTCAATTCATTAACAGAATCTTGATCAAGATATATACGACTATCCCACGTTAATCTGTTTACAATTGGTACATGTAGATGTCTGGTCATGATATTACAAATATTACCAAAACTAAAGGACATTGAAATAATATTTCCTACTACTTTTGCTAAAAACGTGCAGTAATAATAGTGTCAGATTTGACGCAGTTAATCAATAACTGTTTCAATTTATCAAAATTTCCTAGAGGGTATCTCAACGGTACCTTTATACATGTTCCAAATAAACCCTAGCCATTCTATAATCAAAGTAGGTGACCAAATACTTTTCTCCTCATTTTACAAGAAGACCTGCCTTGTGTAAATCTGAACAAACCCGCTCGCTAACCCACTGACAGACTTCTGGAGAATCAGTACCCCACCCGTCGTCTAAATAGACTATGATTTTAATCCCTAGGGTTCTCCAATACTTAACAAGCGGCCTTAATAATTTAGTAAAAATATAAGGCCCCGAACTTAAACCAAATGGTAGAACAGTGTAGACATAATATTTGCGACAACCGTTAACTTCCCACGAAAAACCTAAGAATTTGTGAAAGTATTCATTAATACTAACGTGATGATAACCCGAGCGTAAATCAAATTTGAACATGAGATTGCCTTTTTTACAAAAATGTAATGCTTCTTTGCAACCCTCGAATTTAACTTTAAAATCATGTACGAATAAATTTACATGCCTGAGATCTAAAATTAATCTTTCTTTGCCGGTTGAGTTAACAGACACGGTTAACGGATTTACACAGTATGGCGCATAGTGCGTTTCTTTAATGCATTTCTTAACCAAAAGTTCTGAGATAGCTTGACTCACGAATTTAGAGTGTTTTAAAGCTGACGCGTTATTTTTAAGAAAAACGGGAGAAGGTTCTGTATCAAAAGGTATCTTATAGCCATTAATTATAATATCTTCAATAAAACAATTAACTTTTATCTCATTAACCCAGAAATCTACCTTATTTCTTAGACTAACATGTGGATGTAACACGTTTTGTTCACAAGAGTTATCAACATGTTTTGTACAAAAATACTCAACTGTATTACTTATCCGGCTCACTTCCGGCTGTACTTGATGACCTTGGGTGACCTTCGTAGCCTGAGAACCGGGGAGGAACTGTGCTCCTCTGGACGTAAGGGCAGGCTTTGGCGTAATGTCCTCCGAGGTGACAGATGAAACAAGACCCGAGCGGGAATCGCTGCTGCTGGCTCGAACCTCCGACATAACCCCTTGGCATAACTGTCGCATTTCCTGGCGTAAACCAACGAAAGGACTGCTGCTTATAAGTAGGCGGTTGAAAAGGCTGCTCAGATGAGAACTGCCGCTGCTGTCTCGACCCTGACTGGGCGTATGGAGAATACCTACGCGCCTGGGTAGCACGTGTGATGGCCCCGCGCAGTTTAGTAGCATCATCATCGTTATCGGCCAGTGGACTGGCGTCATACTCTTTAACAGTAAGCCAACCATGCTTATCGGCTATCTTTAGCAACTTGTTACGATGCTGAATGTCTTTAATGTCTTGTTTGACCAGTTCTTGAATAGAATCGAAGCTACGTAGATTGCAGAAATTGTCAATGTTTTGCAAAGTGTCTATTCTATCAACGTTAAAATCAAACTGAATTTGCAAACCTTCACTTTTGAACTTGAATTTATCGGCCGGCGATTTCTTTGCTTGTGTCCCAATTCTAGCTTCAATTTGGTCCAAAATGATATCACACTGTCTGTCTAAAGCCCTCTCTAAAGTTGTATTAAACAATGAAATTTGTTCCGAATTGGACAAATCAATACTTCTGCCTGGCCTCGTGGGCGATTTTTCAATGTCATCCATCATTAATTAACTGAACAAACGTAATGTTACTTGTACAGTAGCAAACCTCGAATGACTATTTAGCCGCGAAATACGCACGAGAAAAACGAGCACTATTCATACCAAATACTTTTTAAATACCACAAAGCAAAAACTAGAAAGTACCGAAAACAATATTTAATAACGGCTGTAAAATAAGCAAAACAAATCCCTGTAAATCATTACTATAGCATCCTTATTTCAAGAGTAAAACAAAATAATCGGTAAAAAACATTAACCATCTTAAAATAAAATGCTGACGATCATCCTTGATCAATGCTATGTTTTGACAGCTGTGCAATACCGGATAAACAATGTACCACCGAGTCTACTAATAATCAAATGGCCCCTCGCTAATTTGAATTAATTCCATTGCACAGCGTGATATACCGTACTTCTAGATTTTATTGGTTAATTTACATTTACACAAAAATAATGACAATAATCCATCCAAAAACTTTCTTTAACCCATTCAGTTTCACACTGTATATATAGGCGATCAATATAAACACCTTTTCTGACCGTTGTAGGTAGCTTCATAAAAAGTGTTTCAAGCCTTACATGATTTCCCTGAACATGCCTTTCAACGCCGTCAAATTAAAACACAAATTTCAATTTAATTATTAATATAAATGACACAGGAAGACTGATATTGTAAAAATAAAATATTGGCGAGGTATTTTCCATTTTCAGAAAATGGGGTTACTATAAAAAGATTTTTGGAAAAAACTGTATAGTACGCCGCCGACCTCTAAAACTACCTTTCACATGGAATTAAATATGTTTTCAGAATATGGATGGTTGTGTAACAGTGGTGAAGTGTTTGTTGATCGAGACTATCAATTATTCATCTGTGCTGATTGATTCGTACATTTGGAAGTTGTTTCAGTGTGGAGAGTGATGGACACGGTGTATTGTACGGTAAACCTTGCTCTTTGATTTCATTGGTAAATCTATTTTAGCTAGTCTACAACTAGGTAAAGCTAGTCTATAACTAGGTAAAGCTGGAACGTCGCCATATGACCTATACAGTGTCGGAACGTCGTCATATGACCTATGCTGTGCTACAACGTCGCCATATGACCTATACTGTGTCGGTGTGACGTAAAGCCCTTTCAAACAAACAAACACAACCTGCCCTTGTCTGTCCGTTTTGGGAAATATCTTTTCTGCCAATAAAGCAGGGGAGATGCCATATGACTTAAGAACCAACAAAACAAATGTGATTTGTTTAGTTAAAAAGACTTTGTTCAACAAATATGATTGGAATGTTGTTTTGTTAACCCCAGTGAAATTTCAGTTAATCTTAAGACCAAGGAGGCAGAATTGCAAGAATGGCATGAAACATGGTGATGATGGATGGACGTGTGGATCGTTAAAGCCCAAGAGTGACAGAGTATTGGAGTACTTGACGTGCATTGTGAAAGTTGATTGAGACTATCAATTCTTCGAGAGTCCCAGTGCCTATATACTCGCAAGAAGGATATGGTATGAAATACAGCTTGGTACACATCTGTGCTGGTAGATTTGTACATTTGGAAGTTGTTTCAGTGTGGAGAGAGATGGACACGGTGTATTGTACGGTAAACCTTGCTCTTTGATTTCATTGGTAAATCTATTTTAGCTAGTCTACAACTAGGTAAAGCTAGTCTATAACTAGGTAAAGCTGGAACGTCGCCATATGACCTATACTGTGTCGGAACGTCGCCATATGACCTATACTGTGTATATGACCTATACTGTGTCGGTGTGACGTAAAGTCCATTCAAACAAACAAACAAAACCTGCCCATGTCTGTCCGTTTAGGGAAATATTTTTTCTGCCAATAAAGGTGGAGGGATGTCATATGACTTAAGAACCAACAAAACAAATGTGATTTGTTTAGTTAAAAAGACTTTGTTCAACATATCATATATGATTTGAATGTTTTTTGTTAACCCCAGTGAAATTTCAGTTAATCTTAAGACCAAGGAGGCAGATTTGCAAGAATGGCATGAAACATGGTGATGATGGATGGACGTGTGGATCGTTAAAGCCCAACAGTGACAGAGTATTGGAGTACTTGACGTGCATTGTGAAAGTTGATCGATACTATCAATTCTTCGAGAGTCCCAGTGCCTATATACTCGCAAGAAGGATATGGTATGAAATACAGCTTGGTACACATCTGTGCTGGTAGATTTGTACATTTGGAAAAAAAAATTCTGGAAACAAAGTGATCCCTCGGAAGCATTAATCGCAACAAAATAACATAAGAATTGCAGACTCGGTTCGATTGAGTCTGTACATGAGGGATAAGTTGTTTCAGTGTGGAGAGAGATGGACACGGTGTATTGTACGGTAAACCTTGCTCTTTGATTTCATTGGTAAATCTATTTTAGCTAGTCTACAACTAGGTAAAGCTTGTCTATAACTAGGTAAAGCTGGAACGTCGCCATATGACCTATACTGTGTCGGAACGTCGCCATATGACCTATACTGTGTATATGACCTATACTGTGTCGGTGTGACGTAAAGTCCATTCAAACAAACAAACAAAACCTGCCCATGTCTGTCCGTTTAGGGAAATATTTTTTCTACCAATAAAGGTGGAGGGATGTCATATGACTTAAGAACCAACAAAACAAATGTGATTTGTTTAGTTAAAAAGACTTTGTTCAACATATGATATATGATTTGAATGTTTTTTGTTAACCCCAGTGAAATTTCAGTTAATCTTAAGACCAAGGAGGCAGATTTGCAAGAATGGCATGAAACATGGTGATGATGGATGGACGTGTGGATCGTTAAAGCCCAAGAGTGACAGAGTATTGGAGTACTTGACGTGCATTGTGAAAGTTGATTGAGACTATCAATTCTTCGAGAGTCCCAGTGCCTATATACTCGCAAGAAGGATATGGTATGAAATACAGCTTGGTACACATCTGTGCTGGTAGATTTGTACATTTGGAAGTTGTTTCAGTGTGGAGAGAGATGGACACGGTGTATTGTACGGTAAACCTTGCTCTTTGATTTCATTGGTAAATCTATTTTAGCTAGTCTACAACTAGGTAAAGCTAGTCTATAACTAGGTAAAGCTGGAACGTCGCCATATGACCTATACTGTGTCGGAACGTCGCCATATGACCTATACTGTGTATATGACCTATTCTGTGTCGGTGTGACGTAAAGTCCATTCAAACAAACAAACAAAACCTGCCCATGTCTGTCCGTTTAGGGAAATATTTTTTCTGCCAATAAGGGTGGAGGGATGTCATATGACTTAAGAACCAACAAAACAAATGTGATTTGTTTAGTTAAAAAGACTTTGTTCAACATATCATATATGATTTGAATGTTTTTTGTTAACCGCAGTGAAATTTCAGTTAATCTTAAGACCAAGGAGGCAGATTTGCAAGAATGGCATGAAACATGGTGATGATGGATGGACGTGTGGATCGTTAAAGCCCAACAGTGACAGAGTATTGGAGTACTTGACGTGCATTGTGAAAGTTGATCGATACTATCAATTCTTCGAGAGTCCCAGTGCCTATATACTCGCAAGAAGGATATGGTATGAAATTCAGCTTGGTACACATCTGTGCTGGTAGATTTGTACATTTGGAAGTTGTTTCAGTGTGGAGAGAGATGGACACGGTGTATTGTACGTTAAACCTTGCTCTTTGATTTCATTGGTTAATCTATTTTAGCTAGTCTACAACTAGGTAAAGCTAGTCTATAACTAGGTAAAGCTGGAACGTCGCCATATGACCTATACTGTGTCGGAACGTCGCCATATGACCTATACTGTGTAAATGACCTATACTGTGTCGGTGTGACGTAAAGTCCATTCAAACAAACAAACAAAACCTGCCCATGTCTGTCCGTTTAGGGAAATATTTTTTCTGCAGATGTCATATGACTTAAGAACCAACAAAACAAATGTGATTTGTTTAGTTAAAAAGACTTTGTTCAACATATCATATATGATTTGAATGTTTTTTGTTAACCGCAGTGAAATTTCAGTTAATCTTAATACCAAGGAGGCAGATTTGCAAGAATGGCATGAAACATGGTGATGATGGATGGACGTGTGGATCGTTAAAGCCCAACAGTGACAGAGTATTGGAGTACTTGACGTGCATTGTGAAAGTTGATCGATACTATCAATTCTTCGAGAGTCCCAGTGCCTATATACTCGCAAGAAGGATATGGTATGAAATACAGCTTGGTACACATCTGTGCTGGTAGATTTGTACATTTGGAAGTTGTTTCAGTGTGGAGAGAGATGGACACGGTGTATTGTACGGTAAACCTTGCTCTTTGATTTCATTGGTAAATCTATTTTAGCTAGTCTACAACTAGGTAAAGCTAGTCTATAACTAGGTAAAGCTGGAACGTCGCCATAATGACCTATACTGTGTCGGAACGTCGCCATATGACCTATACTGTGTATATGACCTATACTGTGTCGGTGTGACGTAAAGTCCATTCAAACAAACAAACAAAACCTGCCTTGTCTGTCCCGTTTTTGGGAAAATATTTTTCTGCCAATAAAGGTGGGGAGATGTCATATGACTTAAGAACCAACAAAACAAATGTGATTTTTTTTAGTTAAAAAGACTTTGTTCAACATATAATA